CTTCCTTCCTTCCTTCCTTCCTTCCTTCCTTCCTTCCTTCCTTCCCTATTTATCCCTTCCTCCCTCCCTTTATCTCTTTCTCATCTTTCCTTCTTATCCTCCATCCCTCCCTTCCTTTTGTCCTCCCTTCTCTCTTTACTTCTTTCCTTTTGTTCTAATCTCTCCCTTCTCTTGTTTATCTCCTTCCTTTCTTCCCTCCCTCCCTCCCTCCCTCCTCCCTTCCTTCCTCCCTCCTTTCCACAAACTTCACTCCCTTCTAGTACTAATGATGTAACCGAGTTCAATAATGAAACATGTGCAAGAAAACGACCAAGCTCAGAGAGCACTGAGGAAGGATCCCACAGTCTTCCTCCTCCTCCCACTCTGGATACACCACTCTCTTGTCACACTGATGATATTACCTAGTTGGGTAGTGAAACATGTGCAAGAAAACAAACCCAGAAAGCACCAAGGACCCTTCCTTCTCCTCCTCCTCCTCCACTCTCTTCTAGCACTGATGATGCTACCTAGGTGGGTAATGAAACAACCAAGTCTGCGAGGAAACCACCAAGCTCGGAGCACCAAGGACCTCACAGTTCATCTGAATTGCAGACATTCTCTTCTGTCCTTCCTTACCTTTGTCCCAGTTAACCATCTCTGATGGGCCTTGTTGTTGGAAAAACATCTGGGTGTATGTGAGTGTGTGAGAAAGACACACATTTCATTTCTCTCCAAAAGAGACGTGGCCCGATTTGTGTTTTTTTTTTCTGTCTTTATTCGCCCTTGCCCCTGAAAGGATGACGTTGATCGCGCCTACTTTGCCGTCTACGATGGTCATGGAGGGATCGAGGCCGCTAATTACGCTGCTGCCCATTTGCATGTCAATGTGGCGCATCACGAGAAGCTTCTGGAAAACCCCGCGGAAGCGCTGAGAGATTCCTTCCAGAAGACGGACGAGATGTTTCTCTTGAGAGCCAGGAGAGAGGTGAGTTGAGGTAGAAGGGTTGAATGGTTGACCAAATGCCGATATATCGTTGACCAAAGAGGACATTTAAAAATTAGGGGGTGAGTTTGAAGAAAGTTGTTCTCTTATCAAGTGCCACTAGGCATGAAAACCAGCTGGATGACTTTGGGCCAAGCACCAGGAGATTGGGAGTTCTAGTCACACCTCAGGCATGAAATCCAAATGGGTGACTTTGGGCCAGTGCCTCCCTCACAGCGTTAGGGGCAAATAGGAAGAGGAAGGTACGTACATAGGATGTGTTCACCGCTTTGAGTTATTTGTAAAAATAATAAACGGTCTTGCTTAACCGCAGAAATTCTGGTCTCACTTTTTGTAAGTTGAGGACTAAACTGTAGGGGGTTAGAATACAATTGGCCGTTGTTAGCCTCAGTGTTGTGTTTGCAGTTGCAAGAAAAAAAGATGCACACTTCAGGATCTGCTGTAAAAAGTTTTCGTTTATTAATGGATTTGCAGCGTGCTTTGTGAAGTATTTTACACACCCACATAATGGCAGGTGTGGTTTTGTGCGTGCAGAGAATAAGGGGTTGTTGTTTTTTGTCACAGTTTCGGTATTAGTGATCACCGATCCAGTGGTTATTCAGCTGGAAACACAACTTGTGCGAGTAGTAACAAAGATCTCTTTGTTTTCTGTCTTTAAAAAAACCAACACTTGTTTTTTTGTTCCAGTTTGCACAGTTTTAAAATCGTGGTTTGCACAGTTTTAAAACCGGAAATTTAGAAGGGAAATTGTCATACATAATAATTAGCCTTGTGCAGAGGCTGAAGTGAAACCCCCCAGAAAAAAAATTGTGTTTTTCTCAAAATTATGCATGTCTCCATTATAAAAATTGAAAAGAGAGGAAGAAAGAGGTACCTGCATCCATTTCTGAGTGGCAGCTACTATTTAATAATCGCTGATGGGGCCACATTTGTTCTAACCCAGGCTTCGTCAATCGTAATTAATCACAAACTTGTTTTAAAAGCAAAATCTATTTTATTGCAGTGCTGGGAGTTATTTTCATTCCCAGCCGGAACGAATCCTAAACAGTCCCCCAAAATAAGCACACACCTTCCAGTTCTGTGGAATGCGGCCAAAAACAGAAATATCCAATTAACTATAAAAGAAACCAACCGAAGTGAGAGAGTCAATAGCTCCCAATTTTGGGAGTGGCTGATGAGGAAGAGGAGGAACAGCTGGGTTCAGTGCCTGATGCGTGGATGCGGAGAGGAGAGGAGAGCAGTGGAAATCTATGAGCCGGTCCTTGGGACGGAAGAGCCATCGCTTGCGAGAGTTTGTTGTGTTTGGGGAGCTGGGTCAGAACATGGCCATGTGGTTAACCAACAGGTGTGACTTTTTCTCGTGTGTTATATTTCAGTCTTGGGGGGGAGAAAAATAACTTCGGCTTTTTCAAAACATGTCTGCAGAAGCTTCGGAGCGGCACCACAGGGGTGTCTTGTTTCCTGGTTGATGACAAGCTGCACATAGCCTGGCTGGGGGATTCTCAAGTGATGCTGGTCCAGCAAGGAAAAGTTATAACTCTGATGGAGCCTCACAAACCAGAACGAGAGGTAAACTTGCCCTGTGTAGCTCTTCACAATTTGTACTCTTATGTTTATTTTGGCTCATCTTGGTTATAAAAACAGTAATTGACCCACTTGGAAAATCCCCCCATTGTCCCAAAACCTGATTTCTTTCTGTATCCTTGATTTATTGTTTAATTGAAGAATAACACTGTTGGAAGGGACCTTGGAGGTCTTCTAGTCCAACCCCCTGCTCAAGCAGGAGACCCTATATCATTCTGGACAAATGGCTGTCCAGTCTCTTCTTGAAAATCTCCAGTGATGGAGCATC